ACTAAACTGAATACAATAAAAAAAATTAGACTCAAACTTGAACCTAAACATATTTTCAATCTTTGTTTGAGTTCAGGATGGTTTAATTTTCGAACCAAACTCAAATTTGATGAAAGTTCAGTTCAGTTCAGTTCAGTAGAAGCACTAGATTTAACTATATGATAGCTTTAGCTTTAAACTAATCTTTGATTATTTTGAAATTTTTGATATCTTCATATAGTTGAGTAAATATATTTTACAAGTTGCATATTGATATTACATGATTATTAAATAAAATTTTTGCAAAGTTGAAGTTGTAAAGACTTTAAGTTTATTACCTTCTATTAAAGAAGTATATTTCTAACTAGTTGTTCCTTTATCATAACAAAATTCAAAATGAACATTGATTCTTTTTATTTCATTGATAATTTTAGAATATTTGCTATTAAATTTTTTAGTGATTTTGAATTTTGCTATTACTAAAGAACATAATCAATCTCAAATACATAATAACAAATAAAGTTTATCAATAATTCAATAATATAAAGGAATAATAAAAAAGTTTAGCTTTTTTATATATCTATCTATATTCATATAGTTTTAATTAATTGTATTAATATTTTTACTAATTTTTTAGTCTTTTTCAAAATTATTATTCTCATCTTTTTTACAATCACATCATAAGCAAAAATAATTTGCATTAGCTATCTTATATCAATGACAAAATGCAAGCATTTTTTAATCTGCTAAAAAATACAAATAAACTTTCTATAGTCATCTTTGTTAATCAATAAACTTAGTTTATATTTCTTCTAAATCTAAAATCAAAAGTACTAATATAGTTTCTAAGCTTTCATACTTTTTTGCTTCTAGATAAAGAACTAATATATGATGATAATTAGATTTATATATATTTGATAAATTGTTTAAAATACTAAATATAAATATCACATGTTTTATTTTGTATCTAACATTGTAGCTATCTTCAGAGATTTACAAGTAAATATTTCTTAACTCTAAATTTAATATTTTATTTTATATTAATATTAGAATTAAATAAGTCAAAATATTTTTAATCAATTTATATGCCTCTTTTCCAACTGATTCTATAACTGATTTAACAATATTTTGATCATTAAAATAAATTTCTTTATTAATTAATTCAGTTAAGTTATCTAATAAATTTAGTAAAAAATCAAATAAAGTTGTTTTTATTTGACTTGCCATATCATTCATAAGTTGTTTTTTTGCTTCAGAAACTGACCATTCACGTAGCAAACTTTGACTAAGATTAGCAATTGTTCTATATGCAGATCGTGATATTTTGCTAATATCCATTGCTTTAATAATTG